ATTCTGTAAAAAATATGAAGAATAATAAGGCCAAGATCTTACGGGCTTTCCTCACCCAAAGAGACAAGAAATCAACCAGGCATTGTGGAGTAGGCAAGAATTAGAAATCAGCACTAGTGATGATATATCAAGTCGCATAAGAATGACAGAAAATAAGAAGAAAGCGGCTGAAACAGAAATGGAGGAAAATAATGATAATGAAGGCCCCGGTGGTCCAAAGGGTGGTAGTAACAGTCGGTGCTGCGACTCCTAAGCTAGAAAAGTGGCTCCAACAGATTCCGTGAACAAACATCATAAATCTCTTTCCAGAACAGGAACTCTAGGAAATCTCTTAGCCCTCTAGTAGAGCAACCGAGGTTAAGGATGATCCTTACTACCCATATAATGCATGATGCTGCGGATTTGCTTGAACTTCTTTCTTTCTCGAAGTGGTAATTTTTTGTGGCGACATCGATCTCATCCTACGTTAGTAGCCAATGAAACGAGTCTGAGCACAAATTTAAGTGCCCCAGGGAATAATTCATATCGAAGAATATACATATATATATATATATATGTATTGAATAAGAACGATCCAATGTCAAAGGTCATCGGATTATTAAACTATTAAATATTAGTAGTGTATTTCATCGAGAAAGATTTTTTCATCGATAGTAGCGAAGGTGTATAAAAATTTTAAAAAAATAAAAGGTCATATGAGATCGATTCGACATTATTTGTTGGACTTTATTAAGGTTTATTGTCGAATACAAATTCACTTATTTCTCATTAACACTAATTTTTTTTTAAATAAAATACCGAACGAGGAAATCCTTAATTTCATAACTCATTGCTCAGTTATTCAGCCCGTCTGTTTATTTTGTGGTTATGAAATTATTATGAAATTAAATATGAAAGAAAGAAAATTCGTTGATTGGGCAAATTTAAGAAGTGAAAAGTGGAAGAGGAGGGAAGGAGGAGGAGGAGGAGGAAGAGAGGAGGGAAACGGAAATAACGATAATGGATGGGAAGAATAAAAGCAGGAGATGAAGTGTTAAGTAATAATTTATAAATTTGAGGATGAAAAAAAACGTATTAAAAATATATGAAGGGAGGAGGAGGAGGAGGACGAAAATGATTATTGTATGATTGGGGATGATTTTGTGAGGTTTGATTGGCCTTGTGCTGAGAAAAGAGAGCATTCCAGAAATGGGTCTATTGTTAGGTGTGTATCAGGCAAGGTCGATCGTGCTCATATAGCGTCGTTGTCAGTTCAACTAACTAAATAACTGCTGTCGAGTGGTGGGACGAGCGCGAATCGTTTTCCATCAGCTGCTTTCATACAGTCTATGGCACTAGATGAATTCACGGGTAAATTAGAGTTCGCCGTGCATTCACCAGTACCATAGATATATGTCTGCTGCAAATCCGTTTTGCCCTCATTTGCCTTTTTTTTTTTGAACCTTTTATTCATTAATTATAATTTAATTAATTTCTATTTTTTTATTGTTTTAATAAGAATTTTTTCTTTTCTTGTATGAATTATTTTTCCAATAATATTTTTTCGAGAATTAATTTTCTTAGAACGTTTAAGTAAATAATGTTTTTCAAATTTTTTTACGAACATTTTTATTATTTAATATTTACATCGTTTTTAATTTTTTTTTTCTTGTCATCTTTTGTCCTTTTTTTTTTTTTACTGTTCATTGCATCGAATTGGTATTTTATCAGAAATATAACAATAATATATTAAAAGAATAATGATAATATTGATAAGAATTTGATAACGATTATAGTATTAATAATAAATAATAGCAATTTTAAAGTAATAAAAATATTTTTAATTTTTTGCTATTACAATATAGTTTTTTTTTATTCCGTTGCTTATAATTTAAATTTTATTTAATGTAATTTAACAAAACTAATCGGCGGTGAAATAATTTTCTTCATAATACATTGCACCTCACCTTGCACCGTAAATCACCATTTTATTAGATCAGTTTTTTTCTCGGATTTTTGCCACAAATTTATTTTTATTTTTTGTTGAAATTTAATCGTTAAAGCTAATTTTAGCTTTCCCGTTGTTATTAATAATCGAGATTACCAATTTTTATATTTTTCACATTCCTTTATAGAAAAATTATTTTTTTTTTCTGTTGAGGGCCTAAATTTTTTTAGGCCATTTTCGGGCAATTATTTTTCAAATTTCTTGCATATTGTTTCCTTAAAGCTTTAAATAATAAGAATTTATTATAATAAAATTCTCGCCAAATTGCTTCTTAGCGGCGATTCTCACTTTATGTATTATTTATTGTTATAAATATTTATTTATTTAAGCCATAAATACTTATGACAATAAATATTTATTATGTTTTAAATTTATTTATATTTTAAATTTTAGAAATATTAAATCGATGAATTTCTTCAACAATATTATTTGAAACTTTTTCAGTGAATTTATAATTTAAATCACTTTTATAATTTATAATTCTTCCAATCGAATTATTTAATTAGTTTCAGTTTCTTGCAAAGATTTTTTAAAAAATATTTTCTTTAACATTAATTTTATAACAAATTTGTTGCATATTTGTTTACATTTTTTTTTCGTTTTTCAAAATAATCAAAATTTAGATTTTCATTTTTATAAATTTTTTCCAGTTTTTATAATTAATTAAATTCAGCAATTATTTGCTATTGAAAATAAAAGAAAAAAGCTATAAAAAATTTTAAAAAAATTTTTATGGCCAAATACAATACGTAGTTTATTTATTAAGGCCTCAAATAATTTATTATCCTTTATAATTTGTTAGGTTAAAAGGTTATGATATTGATTTTAGGTTCATAATCGGATGACGATAAATCTGCAGAATACTTGTTCTTCATGAAACCTTTCGCCACCACTATTACCTCACATAGCGCAATGACCGAGAAAAATCGAACGATTCAAATGAATGCATGAAAATATTGTCGACGACGTTTGACGATTATGGCTGTTGACGATAATAATGATGTTGGGCAAGGACAACGTAAATCGAGTAATTGTTTGTCTTTATCGAAAAATTACTCGAGATCATGACCTTGCATGCTGCTATAGTATATGTATTATATGAAGTGGATGCGCGAGAAGAGTGAACGAGGAAGGGTTTTTCAATAATTACCTCGTTGGGCTAGGTCACACACATCAACAGTCATTATCCTACATAATGAGTTTTCCAACTTCTGTTATCGTTTGTTATAATGCCTACCTATCTGCCTTCCTGTTTACCCGTTTCTTTATTTCCACAGTCTTTGAATATAAAATTTACTCACATAGATTGTCTCTCACTTCATAATTATTCAATATTTTCCCTTCACATAATATTTCAAATATAACAAATAATTTGATCGAATCGAATAATCCCGAAATCGATATTATATAATTTTCTATTTTCAGCTATTTTTACCTAACAACTTTTAAAAGTTATTAATAAATTTGAAGATCTGTTGATTATCAACAGATTATTGATTATTAACCTTGGTAAGGAATTTTTATCAATAACATTGTAAAGCTTACTTATTGATTATGCAACCATCAAACAAAAAATTTGATTTGGTGGGAAGAGATACAAATAGATTGGTGTAACCGATTCCACTGCGGTCCATAATATTCACCAAATCGCCAGCAACATTGTTATCAAAGGTTTGTTTGTTATCCGCACTTATTGGAGTACTACTACCGTAATAAATTTTTATCTATTTGGTTAGAACTTGCTCCTACTGTATTTGTGCTTAATTTGTTGTATAATCAACAAATATTATGAACTGGTAGTCTCAACATTACCCGCTCCATATTTACTTAATGCATGTATTATAATATGCACAAATAAATCGCCTTTGTCGACCGCACCTAACTGCTTACCTACCTATTTACTTACCTATTCACGTCTCCTTCGGTCGGTCTACTCGTTCATTTTTCTTTCAGATCAGAAAAACAACAAAAAAATTTTCTCTTTTCGATTTTTCTCTTCGCTCAGAATTCTTTTAGTGAAAATTATACATCAAAAAAACTAATATCTAATTTTCTAAAATGACAAATTTTCAAATTTTCAAATGACAAATTTATATTCTTTTAAACCTATGACACCACTCAGAATTTAAATTCGATCATTTTCTCATTAATTCAAGAATTGAAATGTAAACCGTTTAGAGAAAACCACGCTCCGATGATGGCAGAAATTTTTATAAAAAATCGCTGCTGGTCCTGTGCATTTTTATCTTTCTTTATCTGTTGGTGATTCTGGTAGCTAAAACAGAATGTATCACCAATTTAATTTTTTTTTGATGGTTCCATTCATTAAATAATATATTAAACAATTTAAAAATCAATTTTACTGTAAAAGAAATAAACTTAAAGAAATAAAGGTGAAATTTATGTTCATAAAAAAGATATTTTACATAACAGAGAACATCTGCAAAAAAAAAGATGAGGCAGGATAGACGAGTGGTCTTAACCCACATTATCATATTAATCAGAGAGTTCGAATTTTGCCTCCGATAACCTGTCATATTTTTTTCAAATAAAATACAGAAAATTTTTATTTTACATGCGACTCGAATATCATCGATCATTCTTCCGAAGGTATCCATAAATTCTGCAAAAATATGGAAATGATTATCTATCTAAAGCGAAATAAATGCAGATAACGAAATAAATGATTTTGTATTTTTCTTTTTTTCGACCAAAGTAATATGAAACGATAGATCTCACTTTTAAAGATTGCATGAAAAATATTTGACCAATAAATGCATAAATGATTACAACTGAGTACGTTATTTAAAAGAACAACTTGAATGATATATTTATATATAAATTATATTAATTTTATATATGATATATAAATTTTGTGGTGTCTCCAAATTACTACTAAAAATTAGCCAAAAACTCTTTTATTATGGCCAATTGGAATAACCATAAATATTGCAAAATCGAGCAAAAATTTTATTCCAACTACTAGCAAACAAACACTAATAAATAATTTTTGTTAGTGGATAACTGAAAACATTAAATTAACATTAGATATGTGCAAACATACCAAAATCGTGCATGCTGTGGCCAACATAAAATATCGTGGATTAAATAATATTTTGTGGATTAAAGGTGAATGTCCAGATGGCAATCTAGCGACTCTTTGACCAGTAACAGTTGACCAAGCTATTATATGACCATCCGTTGAACCACTGAATACATAATGAGCATCCGCACAAAATGTAGCATCGAGTTCAATACCTTTGCTATTTTCATGACCTCAAAATTATTTCAATATAACTTTACCGATAAATGATTGTAATAATTACTAATTAATTAAAAAGTAGCATATTAATTAATTAAACATTGTTATTTAAATGTTTATAAATAAAATTGTTGAAATTCGCGCAAATCTTTGAAAATATTCTATTATATATATTAATGAACTAAAGGTTGCAATAAGTAATTTGATGACGTTTTAATTTTTTGCTATTGAAATTCATAAAACTTTTATATATACAGTCAAAAATTTCTATTAAAATTTCTAATTTCTTATTAAAAAAATGATTAAACTGGATAAAAATTCAAAATTGAAAAATTAAAACGATATCAATTATGACTATACACCTACTACCAATCTAGATTAGATATCGGTTAAATGAATATCCAGCCAACTTCAAAATTCCTAATTATGGGTCCAGAGCATTAATTACATCTAATTCGGATAATAACTATTGGTTTTATATCAAAGTGGGGCTTCAGAACTCAGCAAGAAATGATGTATCCGAAAGGGTAAGATGCTTTCCAATCACATACTATCCTGTTGATGACTGGACGACCCACATTCGCTTTAACAACAAGTTCCGCAATCTCCATCATTAATATTTATGCTCCTGTGCATTATATAAGAACACAGGAGCTGCTAACAACACCTTTTCCAAAAAACGAAGAATGATGGAACAAATACTACTGGATGGTACCTTATTTTCTATGACTTCCAAACTAGACGTTAGAAGCATTATGCAGATAAAGAGAAGAGCGCCAACATGGAATTCACCAAATAGTCAATATTCGAATCAAATTAATGGTTGAAAAGTTCTTCATCAGATAGCCACTACACCAAAAGTCCACAAAACTTTGACAATATCTACGAATATATGCTGTAGAAGCATAAATGTTTGCTGGTACATACAACAAAGAATCCTATATTTTATTTTGATTACCTTAAGGACTAAGGATAGTGAACACATTCCAAGCTAAGGTGCTAAAATATTTCAAGTGATTTAACATCTGCAACATCTGCTTAGATAAGGAAAAAGGAGTGAATTCGCCTAACTTATTTTCAAGCATGGCGTCGGATCAGAAAGCTTGGAGATGATATCTTTCTTTAATTTCCAATTAAATAAAAAAGAATTTCAGAATTAAATAATTCAATAATTCAAAAATTTTAATTCAAATATGGATTTGACCGTCAAATTTACTATAAATATCACAAACGTGCGACAAATAATTAGTTTTCATAGGAAGGCAAAACTCGAAAAATTTCAAAAAAATTCAAACTACAAATTGAGATACTCCAAATGAAAATTTCCATACCTTTCAATGTATGTATAACTGTGCCTTTAAATGAATCAATTAAAATGATATTGGCGCTATTGGAAATAATCATAATCATTTTGCCATCAGGAGAGAATTTCAGTCCAGTCCAATCTCCACCAGTGCCATCATTTTCCAGTTTAAATGTTGTAAAAGGACCCTGAATAATGTTAAGTTTTTCACTATTTAGAAAAATTCAAGCGAAGTTCTTCGAAAGAAAAAAGAACTGTAATGGACCTTATCAAATGACCGTAGATCATACAACTTGATAGTATCAGAATTGATACCTGCAGCGAAAATGAGTCCTTCGGGATCAAAAGTTGCAACAGGACGAGAAGGGACATGCATCAAGCCCTACAAATTATAAAATATATAATATAATAAAATACATAATATATATTTAAAAAAATATATATAAAATTATAAAATATAAAACATAAAAGTTTTTAAATTTAAAAAGTGAATATTAAAATAAACAGAATAATGTTAAAATACTTGACAACTCTGCATTCGCAAATCCCATAGTCTGATGGTTTTATCAAGAGAACCAGAAAGAAACATATCATCTAGTGGTGACATACACAATGTGACTACCCTAAAATTATTTATTGCAAAGTAAAAATAAAGAAAATTGAGAAAAAATTGCCATATCGACTACCAAGTTAGCAACAAAAAAAACCAAAAATTTAACAGATCCTAAACCACAAAATAATAAAATATACTAATACACTAACTTTTTTTGATGCCCAGGAAAATACCGAATATATTTATTGTCATGAAGCGATAAATACCTTATCACATCTGAAATTATTAGAGCATTAATTTTATAAATTTGATCTTATCTCAGCAATTAGTTATTACCATAGGAAGGCAAATGTGAAAAATTTCAAAAATATTTTAATAAAGTAGGAAATTTTTATTCATTTAAGAAGCAAAATGTCACAAACGAAACCAAAACTCGAACCTCAAGATGAAATAATATAGATTATTTCTAAGAACCATTAAATCAAATTATAATCCATAAATTTAAAAAGCAATAAACATTACAACAAACCATCAACTTTAGTTGAACAGTGTATGGCATTAGAGGTATTATGTGCGAACTGGATCAAATCCACTCCATATTTCTTACTGTTTACCTAAAATCTTATAAGATTCATCGCGAAATAATCTTCCATATACGAATAAAATTTCGCATAAGCCAGCCAAAAATTAAAAAACATACAGATCGGCTTTTCTGACCAACAACACAGTCATACATTATGATTGAATCATCATCTGAAGATGAAATCATTTGTGTCCCATCAGCACTAAAATCGAGACTATTGATACGAGCCTGTAATTAATAATAGAACAACTTTTAAACAACAAAAAACTGTTATTTAAATTTAAATTTGATTTTAAACATCATTTTATGATAATTTCAATTTAATTCATTTCATTTTTAAGAATTTGGCACGGATGAAAAGCTAATGAAAGCTAATGAAACAATGGCTCAATGAGTTGTTCTTCTCGATGCTTACGTTCAATTCTTGACTAAGAATAAACCTGATTTTCAAAAATACAGGTTTGCACTAACTTTTTTGACGTATTTCTATTGCCAAGTAATTCTTTAGCAAAATTTGCCTGATCTGACCGACAAGTCAACACAACAAGCCTAACGAGAAATGGTAGATGCTCTTAAGAAATGCAATAAAACAAAAATAAGTGCGAATAATTTAAAATTTTAGAATAATAATACCGAAAAAAATTATTATCTCTACTATTGAAAGATTTCTAATATTAAAAGTACCAAAGATTTAAGGTTTAAGAAAATACATAATATATTATAAAGAAATACATAAATATAAAAATATATAGAAATTTAATAAAATCATAAGTTTATCAATAAATCTGGTAAATCGAACCATACAAAAAAAACACCAATGATAAGTGATAAGTGATATGATTTCAATAGCAAAAAATTCATAAAAATTAAAAGAGACCTGATTGTCAGAAAAGCTTTTCGCAGGCTTCATACTTGCAATACTTCGATCGGTTGCTTTCATTATCAAATTTCTTACTTTTAAAAAAATTCACAGATGAAAAAATATTAGATAAAAATATTTAATTAACCAATTCCTAAAATTGAATATCAGTTATGGCATTAAATATTTAAAAAGAACGAATCGAGTGGTGTAATCAAGTCAAAACATCGGCACTCTTAGAAATCAGCAAAACCTTATCAGTGTTATCAGTAAATAAATGAAATACTACGGGTGGTTAAACTTCGAACTTCTGGTGACTCTTTGGTAAACTTTGGTGATTGCTGCACCCGACTCACAGCCAGTGGAACGAAGTTTAACCAGAAGTTAGTGTTAACCACTTTCTTACTACAAAGAAATATTATTTATAATATAACAATTCGTTAAATTAAATCGATAAACAGGCAATAATAATAACGAAATTTCAGAACGCCGATGCTAAAGCGCATTCGGAGGGAGTGAGAATTTGCCTTTCAAAATTCGGGTGATATTCGGGTAATCGATTCACCTGCGGCCAAGTGATGTTCCTTAGCAAAGCTCGTCTCGTCCAATAAATCAGCCAAGCCAGAAATGGCAGAAAAAGCAGTTTTAGAAAAATACTAAATAAAAAATATTATTAATATAAATTATTAAAATTAAAAAATGAAATTTCGCTTAAACAACTAAGTCGGAAAATTTTTACGACAGAAATAAAAACAAAAAAAAAAACAGAAAAAAAACCTTACCAAATTTCACTCCGAATCTCAATAAAATTTTGGCACATTGCCATAATTCTTATTTTCACATTACAGCTAAATATTTTTATATTTTCAAATGATTTTTTGTGAATAATCAAAAAAATAAGTCATTAATTGCAAGGTGATCGCAAAGCTTTTTTAAATTTACCCACCAAAATTCCTATGCAAATTTTATTACATTAATTTTTCCTACTTTTCCAAAAATATAAAATATTTAGTTACTAAAACTGAAAAATACAAATTTTTTTATATTGAAACGAAATTATGCAATACTGAAGCGAAGATATTTGATTTTGCGTGAAAAAATTTATAAATCGATTGTTATTGTGTGAAAAGGTGGGGGGATTTATCTATTTATTTTGTATTTGATGATGGATAGCGATAGACGAGATCCAATGGTTGGTACCAGTTTCTCGAATTTCCCGTCAGTTCGTTGGAAAAAGGTCACGAATACTACTGGCCCGACGCCACGGTGAGTTTCTTTTTATTTGTATATTTTTTATTTAAAAAATAATTTTTCGCTCCGAATTTGTAGCGAAAAATTAAAGTTTTATTAAAGGTTTTCATTTTAAATTAAAGTTTATCTTGAATTTGAATGTAGCGATGTTGTTAATCAAAATTTATTTATTCTGAACATTGAAAAATTTTAAAAGTCTTTTGAATAGAACTTTAAATTTTCTTAAAATAAGTAAAATATAAATTAGATTCAAATATAAAATAGAATTAAATATAAAATGTAAATGTAAATATAATATAAAATATAAATTAGAATTTTTCAAGTTTTTTTCATTTCTCCTAAGTTTTTAAAAAGCAATTAATTTTTGGACGAATATCTGTTTTCCTTGTTTCGTTTTCCTCCCCTTTGCATAGATTCTTTCCTTTTTTCTTTTTTCTAACATTCTGATTAACTTTGGACGGCTGCATTTGCTACAGAAGTGAAGCGTTATCGAGCACCATAATTTTAGTAATACTTAAATTGCAAAATAATATTTTTTTCCCACCATCACGACCATATGGTCGCTGGACCGCCCATTCATGGAAATTTTTTTCCGACTTTATTCACCTTGTATATCTTCCATTATTGGCCACGCTTCATTGTTTAGTTTAGTATATAACATAATGGCAGTTCCACTTTTAGAAAGTACTTATCTGCATTCGATAAAAGAGTGGATGCACCGTATTTGAAAATTGGAACTTCTGTGGTTCATTTATTAATAATGTTATTTTACGTAGTATATAAAAAACTTTTTCATATTATTTGCATTAATCTGAGGTCCGATTTTTGCTGTACTATGAATGGTCAGAAAAAAAGTTGTATCATGAGTGTGTTTAAAGTTCGATATATTCTGATTTCATTTGCACATCGTTTATCGTTTATTATTTATCCTTTTCGTCGCATAGCTAAAGAATACACTTGTTATACATTTAATTCTTAATTCGAGACGCTGTGTGTAGATTACATGCATTTTTTTATTTTTCCTTCGATATTGATTTCTTTTAAATAGTAACAGATGAATTTAAATTTAAAAAAATGGTTATCTGTGATTTTTATTGAAATAGAAATCTGAGAGAGAAATCTTGAAATGGAAATCTTGAAAACTTTAAAAATTTAAAGGAAAAAAGTTCTTACTTGGTAACATATGTTTTGAATATTGTTTGAATATTGAACAAAAAACTGCCCATAAATTTAGAAAAAGAAATAAATAAAATAATCAATTCCCTTATAATTATTATTTATTCAAAAGATTAAAAGTAGTATGAAAGAAAACAAAAAATTGAAATAAAAGTGGTTTTAAGGAGAAAATTCTAATATTGAATGTGAAGTGGAAAAAGTGATGAAAATAAAATGTTTTGTTATGTTCTACATTTAGGCAAATTTTTGCAAGAACTTTCCCAAATTAAAATTTTTAAGAAATAAATTATATTTGTGGAAAATTATTTTTATGCATTATTATCGTTGTAAATATTATAAAAAAATATAGATGAACAAAAAATAATTGTCCATATAATAATTTGCAAATATTTGTGCATAGGATTCGAAAGGATTACGTATTCGCGGCTATAACCATAATATTTAAAATTGCCATCTTTGTATCTCCTTAATAACCGGTTAAATCCCTTTAGATTTTTTTTACTGTTATCTGTATTATCCTCAAAACCTCTTTTTAAAAATATAATATAATAAAAATATAATAAAATAATAATGTAAATTTGCAATCAAAAAAATTTTATTTGTTCATTTATTATAATTTTATTTATATTGTTGTATAAACTGTAGTCCTCGCCATGGTCATCGAGCTGTTGCAATCAAGGATTTAATGATTGTATTTGGTGGTGGTAATGAAGGGATTGTTGATGAATTACACGTTTATAATACAGGTTTTATTCCTTTTATTTTTTTTTTTTTGCAATAGAAAATAAATTTTTGTTTTTATATATTGTTCGTCCGATTCTGAAAATGGGGAATTTGCTAAATTTATTTGCTGAATTTTAAGGTTCATTAGTTTTAGAGTTTCAAGAATTTCACAGTTATATCTCTATCCTCAAAGATTTTTTCTGATTTTTTTGTCGACATTTTTTAACATCGATTTAACATGGCCATTTTAAAAATTTCAGCCACAAATCAATGGTTTGTTCCGGCAATTCGAGGTGATGTGCCACCTGGATGTGCTGCATTTGGAATAATTTGCGATGGAACTCGAATATTTTTATTTGGTGGTATGGTCGAATTTGGGCGGTTAGATTTATTTTATATTTTATATTTTCATTTTTTGCTCAGCTTTATATTTCCAAGCCACAGAAGCTTTTATTATGTCTTTTTAATTTTAGTTATTCTGCTGAATTGTATGAACTACAAGCAAGTCGTTGGCAGTGGAAGCATCTTCGCGTCCGTCCTCCCAAATCTGGATCAGCGGGTCCGTGTGAACGTTTGGGGCATTCATTCACTCTTGCTTCTAACCAGGTTAAACGTAATATTGGTTTTTCACATAATTTTTCATGGTAAATGTTTCGTAAGCTTTTAATAATGGTTTTTTGAAGGTTTGTTATATATTTGGTGGATTAGCTAATGATAGCCCGGATCCAAAAAATAATATACCCAGGTATCTCAATGATTTATGGGCGCTGGACCTTAAATATGGCACGAACAATTTGCAATGGGAATGCCCATCGGTGATTCTTTTTTTCCATATTTCGCTAAAAAACTTTTCATTTGTCGAGTTTAGTTGCAAATTTTCCGTAACGATTTATATATTTATATGGAAAATGTTAAGACATTTGGTACGGGACCGTCTGCTCGTGAATCCCATGCTGGTGTTATGTTTGAGAAGGACGGTTACCGCAAATTAATAATACATGGAGGTATGGATGGTTGTCGACTAAATGATTTATGGATTTTGGATTTAAATTCAATGACCTGGTCAAATCCTCAACCAGAAGGAATACCACCTCTGCCTCGTTCATTGCATTCGGCAAATATCATTGGAGACAGGTTATTTTTTTTACTTTTATTTTTTTAGTGTTTTTTATTATTTTTCAATTTGCTTGAGATCATACGGTTTGAACTTTAGAAGGTTCAGTTCTTTCATTAATGTCTCTTAGTTGCGGAAAAAAATTGTAATTTAGTTAAATTGTAGTTGCCATATAAAAAATATAATTTTGCAGTATATAGTTTTGCACATTTAAAAATCGTGGCTTTTTTAAATTGTGAATCATCGTTGGTTACGGCATTAAGAAGGGGTCTTTTTGTGCAGTATTTCTGGCTGTATGATACCATTAAAAGAATTTTAGGTGAATTTTATTTTATAAACTTAACATTTCGAATATATACGATTGTTGCAGAATGTTTATATTTGGTGGCTGGGTTCCTTTAGTTCTTGGTGATTCAAAAATGGATCAGATAGAAAAGGAATGGAAGTGTACGAATACATTAGCATCATTAGATTTGAATTCGATGTGTTGGGAGACACTTTCTACTGAAATCTATGAAGGTAGAACAGCGTCATATTATTTTTTAGTTTTATAGTTTTTAGAGAATTTTTTTTTGAATATTTTTCCATTTAATTATGGTTTGTTTGTTCCTTATTTGTTTTCGTTTTCTTTCCTATATATCTTTTTTTCTCAAAATAGATGCTTTGCCACGTGCCAGAGCTGGTCATAGTGCTGTTGTTATAAATAAACGTATTTATATTTGGTCTGGTCGGGATGGCTATCGTAAAGCTTGGAATAATCAGGTTATTATTAGATTATTTTATTTTATTTTCATTTTTATTTTCATTATTTTATTTTCATTGAAACTAATATTTACTAATCAGTCAGATTTCTTCTGAATTGTATGATGATTTTAGGTATGCTGCAAAGACATGTGGTTCTTAGAAACTGACAGGCCTGCTGCTCCATCGAAAATCCAGTTAGTTCGAGCTACAATTTGTGGTCTTGAAGTATGTTGGAATTCTGTTCCGACAGCGGAGGCTTATCTCTTACAACTACGCAAATATGAATCGACACCGCGGGGAACTGAAGATGGTGATTTATTATCTATATTCGATTTCACAATTAATATTTTTATAATATTCATAAATTTTTTATATTCTGTCAATGCATTTTCTTTATATCCATTTTATTATATTTTTTTCTTTAGGCGCAAGAGCTGTAGGTATGGTAAGAATGAGTGCTGCTAAATCTCAAATTTCAAGCAATAAACTGATAGCGATTCAGCGTTCTTCAGGAGGGCCACAGGTAATGAAAGTGGTACGAAGTGGTCCTCATTTATCTTCAGGAGTTATTACGCCAACTTCTGGTGGTTCATTGTTGCGCGTTGTATCCGCTTCTAAGGGACCTCAGACAACTGTTAGTTTTATTTTACTGATTTGAATATTAAAAATTTTAGAAAAAAATATTTCGACATTTAGGCTACTTCCATTCCTAAATCTGGTACCAAAACAATTATTGTAACTAAAGCAACTGGAACTGGTACAGCAGCTCGAAAACTTTTCCTTGTCCAGCCTTCCACTTCATCTGGCTCTTCTGTTGGTGGTGTTCGTTCAAATACCCAGCTTTCACTGGTGGATTCAGTACCTCAAAGAATTTCTTCAAAAGCTTCTTCAGTTGCAGTTGTTGGTTCAGAACATACTTCTACCATCTCCACTCATGGAACAACTTATACTTCTCCAATGACTTCAAATGTTGATGTAATTACAATTTTTATTTTTCAAAAAAGCTTTTAAATCTTTTTACTTTCAACTATGCACGAATTATATAATTGAAAAAATGAATATAAATTTACAACTGATAATAAAAGCAACCAAGTACTGTTTTACTGTTATACCGTTACTGTTTTTCAATTCATTTTTTTAAAGACTGGGTTACCGCAGAATCTTCTGGATGAGTCTTTGATGGAAACTGATTCTGGAATGGGGCAACCTGATAGTGTTGACCAAATACAAGAGCCAAGCGACTCATATCGAACAAGCCAGGTTGTAGAATTTATGCCCACAGAGCAAGCTTCTACAAGCTTATCGTCGGAAACAACGCAAGGCTTGGTTAGTGAAATTAATATTTCACTAAGGCTTCTTAGTTTTGACTACATGAAAACATTTCAGAATGATGGCGTAACACCTGAAATAACTCATGATTCTGAGGCGCCTGTTGAACAAAAAATTAATCAATCTTCAAAAGAAATTCAAAATGAAGAAAATGAAATAAAAAGTACAGAAGATTTATTAGGCTTAAGGAACTCAGATGAGATCAAGGAAAACTCAGATCACGTAAAGGAAAATTTTGGAAAACAAGGTTTTTAGTTTAAGATTTAAAACATAAATTTTATTTTATTTCGCACACTTAATAATTCCTCTATTCTTTGATAATTTTTCGTGATATTGGCGAAATTTTCTATTTTCAATTGTTGCATAATTTAATAGTTTGAATTTTTTCGCAATCTTTCAGTCTTCTAATCAGTTAACAATTCTTTTTTTTCAGAAATTCTTTCATAATTCTTTTTTTAGAAATTCCGGCGGATGATATGAAAGAATCAATAACAGAATCTCAAAATATCGAATCTGGTGACGGTGTCGTTCCTTTTTTCAAAGTGGAAGCGCCAGAATCGAGTGTGTCGGATAATCTTGTTAACCCTAGCGCTTCGGAATCAAAATCTGGTGAAAATACTGTGGAATCATCAGATAATATGCCTGTGTCTTCAACAGCGCCTTCAGTAGCTGATGTCGCTTCCGAAAATTCTGTGGCTTGCGATTCAAAAGTGACTCAAACATTGAAAGTTGTAAAAGTCGAAGCAACATCCACTCAGGTTTTAACGTACTTTAGGATATTTTTGCTTTTGTAATTTATTTTTAATTCCAAATGTCAAAATGAAATTCCAAATTCAGAAGAAATTATTTATTTATTTATTGAGGACCAGCCACGCAGGGCGACAGTGCTTGTATAAATAACAACAATAATAAAAATAATAAAATAATAAAAATTAATAATAAGAAAAAAAGAAAATATGTCAAAAAATGAACAATTTAAAGAGGAAATTACAGAATAATATAGGTACAATTCGAAGTAATTATATTATATATTATAGTTCAATTCGAAGTAACTGTATTATGTATAATTGAATGGTAGACATCGAGAATTAATAAGTTGTCCATAATTTTCTTGTTAATTATTTTAAGAATCAATTATTTTATTGTTTTAGAATGAGCCTTATCCTGTAAAAGAAGATCCGCCATGGTTTGATGTCGGAATAATTAAAGGAACAAGTTGTGTGGTGACTCATTTTTTCTTGCCTTCAGATATGCCTCTGGAAGATACATATAGCGTAAGTCTGTACTATATTGCATATTTTTTTCCGAACTCAATTTATGGTTCAAAAAATTATTTTCGGCCAAAAGTTTTGCCTTATTAGTTAGTATTCTATCAAGAGCAGTTTCTTAGAGAATATTTTTTTCCATTCATTTCCAAATTTTTCAATTTCAATTTTTTTTCTTTAAACCTATTTTTTCGGATCATTTCGCCCTTTTGCAGACCGATTTTGAGGTTGGAATGCATACTTCACAAGTTGGATTGCTTAGAAAGGCAGAGTTGGAACCTGGTACAGCATATAAATTCCGAGTGGCTGGTATCAATGCTTGTGGGCGTGGTGAGTGGTCTGAGGTATGATCAACTACTTACACTCATAAGAAAATGAGAACTGAATTAGAATCAGAGGTTCATTGTTATTTAATTATTTTATAATTAAGTTTTTATAGGTCACCGCTTTCAAAACCTGCCTTCCAGGATTTCCTGGAGCACCTTCGAATATCAAAGTTTCAAAAAGTGTGCGAGGTGCTCATCTTTCTTGGGACCCTCCGCACAATATTGGTGGTTAGTTATCGACTTTTTTAAAACAATTTTAACAAGTTTCGTTTTTTCATTGGTTTTTTTGCAAAGCAGAATGTTTTTGTTTATTTGCACACCTGTTATATTATGCATATATTTCTTAATGTTCTCATAAAAGCGTTTTAAATATTGGTATGTAGTTTGTGTATCTGTTTTAGTTTTAATCTTTCTGTGGCTTTATTTTTGTTATTAATAGTTTCTTATTTTCTTATTTTTCAGATTTTAATTTTTCTAATTTTAAATGAAATTTAGGTCGAATTTGTGAATATAGTGTTTACCTAGCTGTTCGGAGCTCACATATGGGAAATGAAACTCAGTTAGCCTTTGTGCGTGTTTATGTTGGTCCAGAGTCATCGTGCGTAGTCTCGACAACAGATTTACAAGTAGCTTATATCGATATGGCATCAAAGCCAGCAATTATTTTCCGCATTGCAGCTCGAAACGATAAGGTTATATTCATTTTTTGGCTGAATTAGAGGGTATAAGGTAAAGTCTGATAGAAATATGATATTCAAAATGGCTGTTTTGTTTAGGGTTATGGTCCAGCTACTCAAGTGCGGTGGTTACAAGATCAACGACAGAGATTGCCACCAGTAATTGGCCGACAGTCGCAACCACTGCATCAACCAATGGTTAACGATTATCATGGCATATCTCCGGTCCACATACAAGCAAAACGCATGAGGCTTGAATGATTTTAATTTCCTCCTTTTCAATTCATTGATAATAAACAAACCTCTAATATATACAAGGATGTAATATCTTAACAGAATTTTTGTTGCTTATTATTTTGAAACAAAACTTGAAACAAGTTTTTTGAAATTTCTTGATGATTAGCAACTTTCTTGTAAATTTTACCTTCTTGTAACCTATTATTTTTTTAATATTCTGTTCATAATAAGATTTCTTTAAGCACTTTTTTAATATTGGCTATATATTGGTATTAGACTTGATCAGTTTGTGAAAGATTCCTCATTTTATCGGTTCTAATAAGTTGGACTTTGAAGGTCTAACATTGGCTTTAGGAATAATTGTTGTAATAGTCCTAAAAAAATGTAGCGCAAACAAAAATATTTTATAGTCTCACTGCAGCCTTTTTAACAAGTATTCGAGTATTTTATGAGAAATTTTGTTTATGATTCTTTTTTTTAATTTCATTTTTATTTTTTATAAAATACTGAAGGAAAGCATATTTCATTTTTATATTTTGCGATTAAGTATCATCATAATAATTCTACCTTTAAAAGATTTGCAACGTCATTCAGTTTCAATTTATTGCTTTTGATTTTGTGCTGTCTGCGAATGGAAAAAAAGGACGATGCAAATATATTTTGAAATATGAAAGAAAGAATGAAAAGGAAATCTGTCAAATTTTTACTGGATTATTGATGGATTCGTAAAAATTGTGGGATGAATGAATGAATAATTTTTTTTCAAATATGTTTTTCGAGTTTTGCAAAATTTTATTCAAAATTTTTAGGTAAATGACTAATGGAAATAATGAGAAAAGAGAAAAATAAAGAGAAAAGAGAAATTGAAAAATTCTCGGAGAAAGAAAAATTCGATTTTTCTTTTTTATTTAAATTGTATATGCTATAATTGAGTCAAAAGATATGTAAGAATGTGGCTTATATCGTTAATCTAATACATATTACACAATGAGAAATAAAAATTGGCTTGAGGCGATCAATCGAACCACAAATCATCGTTTCTTTCGTTTGCAGAAGTAATAATAATGAATTTTAGGAGCAAATAGTCGTTTTTTTTAGAAAAAATTACTTTGATAAATTTTATATTTTTTTTTGACGGATTTCCCAAATTTTTATTCGGAAAATTTTCTTTTTCAATTTTTTTTCGAAATCTGGAATTTTCGTCAAGAAAAAATTTGCTGAATGCGAAAATTATTTGTTTTCAATTTCGAATCGAAATACCTTCTATGAAAGGGGAAAAACGAGTGGAAATCAATTTCCATTGCGATTCTTAATAGAAAAACTTATAGATGTCAATTGCAAGTGACATACGAAGCCAATGAGTGTGTTTCTCATAAAATTACAAGTTTTGTTGACAGCTGTTTTTTGATCAGAAAAATTACCGAAAAATATTTGTGATTTGAGAGATATTCGTTTTTTTTCCCCACGATTCGATTATTAAATCTCAGCGAAACTCAAATTTTTAATTCACTATTCGCACTAAATTTGGAAATAAAATTTTAGTAATTTTTATGATTTCGAGATTTTTCCATATTTCTTTTCAAGAAAATATTGGAATATAAAAAAGAATGGAATGTGTGAAGAAAAATGGAATATATTTGTATTTGCAATATGCATTAAAATTGAAAATATTAAAATTGATTACAATTTATAAAATTATAAAATTCAACTTTATGGGTTTTTATGGGTTTTTCTCGGGTCTCAGCTCTCCTATCAGAGCCAACGAGTCTGAGGATTCTACTGTGATTGTTTCTAGCATTACACCATTCTGAGATCAGTCAAAGATCACTTAGTCACTGTTTTGTTCATGGAAGCTATTGGAACAACTTTTGGAACAGCTTAGGAGTGTCACGAGTTCCAATTCAAATATCTTCCCCTTCATCTCCTCCAGCATCTTGTTTAATTCGTCTTTCTTCCTTTGGTATTTCTATGGTTTCTCATATTCCCTCCTAATTTCTATTATTTGGTGTTTACTACCAGTGTTAATTTCGGGCTCTTTTCTACTGCAACAATAGCTGGTTTATTGACCAACACTTATTTGGCTGTCCGGATGAAGAAGTCTCGCAAGTCCTTAGCCTTATTGTTCTCCACGATTTGCTGAGGAATTTCACGTTTAGTGAAATTTCGTTTGATTGGTTTAAGTCGTACTTTCGTCTGGCAGATTCATGTTTTGATGCACCTGGTGCCTGCTAACTGTGCCTTCTTATGCTGTTATGTTCTCAAAAAAAATATTGAGAATGGATATAATAGAAGCCGTGTAAAGAAAGACTCACACTTCTGCTGTCAATCGCATTTTGATAAAATTCGATGCGAATAACAGTCATAAAAAATTAATTTTGTTTGCATTGTTAGAAAATATGGATTAGTAATTTAACAATTGGGAATAATTTTTTTTTCGAGAAAGACCCATCATTTCTGGTTCAGTTAATTTGTGGAAGCAGGCAAATTGCACCTGAGAGTCACTTAACGATAGAATACACGCGAGTATCATTTGCATTTCTAAGATGCATATTTGCTTCTACAAGGGCTGTTACCTCAACATCGGCGGTCCGCTATGCGATCTAACTCACTGTCACCATCACCATTTCAGCAATTTTTTATCTTAATACGATTAAGAATACTGTAATTGCTATAAGATGTTTCAGAAGAATGGTAAAATTTTTCTTTGAACAATGCATAGATGATTATAAACCATTACTTTTTCATTAATTTATTAAATACGTTACCAATTACTAAAATTGTTAAGAATTAGTAGTTTGTAAATATTTCTTAGAATTTACAAAATAATAATAAAAAATAATTGATTTTCGAAAATCTACTGAAATAAGTACAAATAATTACGGTAGAAATCGAAGAAAACTGAAAATATTGGCTTCATTGGCTAAAAATTTTCTTCATTTTAAATATTCGTGAAGATGCATGAAAAATTCATTACATCATAAAGTTTAGAAAGCAAAACGAGGCAAATGCAAATGCTTCCAAATTCAGAAAATTTAGAAAATATGATAGGGCCTAAGAAATTGGCGGATTTGTTTGGAAGTCTCTCCGCTTATGGCCAATTTGTTTTTCATTCAATTCCTCAACTTTCATATTTCACTTTATTTTGTATCTTTTGCAATATGAGAAAATTTTGATTAATTGAGAAAAATCAAATTTTTTTACAAATTCGAATGAATGAATTTACCAAAAGATACAAAAATTGAACAATTCATAAAATCTAAAACCATAATAAATAAATTGAGTTAAATTTCTTTGCTTAAAAAATTGAGAAATATTATTTGGTAAATAAAAATTGGTAGTAAAAATTATTATTCTCATATTATTTAGTATTATAAAAATATTTTTTTACTCGTTTAAATATCTCAAATATTATTTTTTAATTTCTCAAAATATTATTAAAGTTATTTTATTATTAAAATTATAAAATATTCAAAATATTTTTAGTATTTATATTTAATTTTTAATATTAATTAGAATATTTATTCAAAATATTAAAGTTGTTTTTTCATTAAGACATTATTATTGTTATTTATTATTTATTTTAATTCATTTCAATTCGTATTATTTGGAGAGAAAAAATTAATATTTTTTTTAATAATAAAATAATTCATGAAAAAAAGCTCATTTCAAATATTCTTTGATACATTAAAATTTATTCGTTTAAATAATAAAAATAACAATAACAATAATAATATTCTTAATAATATAATAATTTTTGAAATCTTAGAAATTACCGAATATAGAAATTCTTAAAAAAAAAAAACGAAAAATTTCATTAAACTTGGAATGCGCAATTTTATTAGACTAAAGAAATATGAATTTTTTTTTTAAGGATTTCTATGTTGCTTGTTGCTTCATTTAAAGTCAGACAAGCGACATGGAAATAAGTTTTTTGTCCTCGCGAAAAAAATAAATCCATCATTGAAAGTCTAATTCCGGGTGATTCTAAGGATTTGTCGCTCGGCAATTTATTTTTTTGATTTTCTTCAAGAATTTAGAAACAAATATTTTATTTGAGAAAGAAAGCAAGTATAAGAAGAAATATACTCAGATAAACTGGATTTTATGAAAATCGTTCGAATTTTATGGGCGATAAAAATGAAATATAACAAATAGCAAAAAAAAGAAGGGATTCTTTTCATGTTTCTTCTTTAAATAACGTTGAATTATCAAATCGCTTTGAAAAAAAAAGTTAGACAAATTCTGAAACATTTATAAGTAATATAAGTGGGTAATATAGAAAAGCCTTAGGGAAGAAATATATCGATTGTGGACGATTTAACTCTGGAAGTGTATTGATTGACATTAGAAGGCGGAGAATGAGCCCAGAAAGAGGTATAAACGAGGATATTTAGTTAGAAGGCTGCTTTTCCTTATCAACAATGGCTGATATCTATCATGCTGGATCAGGAGTCTCAAAAGGATTTCCACAAGCTCCTTATGGATATCCAATGCATTGTAATATGTCTCGTGCCTTTCAAGAAATGACCGATGATGAAAGGAAGTGCCTCGAGGAACGCAAATATTGGTGTTTCTTATTGTCCAGGTGAGCTTTTTCATTCTTTTTCTTCTTTTTCGCGTTATATCGATAATCATGATAGTTGTAATTATGTTGGCCCAATCTATTACATTTTCTACTATTCGTCACGTCACTTTATCCACAGAACTATTTGTCTTTCTTTAATTTATCAATTCTTTTATCTTTCATCATTTGCTTTGCAATCATCTTAAATCGAATTATTTTAACAAAATAACGTATTGACGCTTTTAGCAAACATAAGCAATAGCAATACGTAAATTAAAATATGGGCAAAAAATTTCGAGATCTTTTGCTCGTTTTAAATATTTAGCGAAACGGAATTCACTTTTATAAATGAAGAAAAATTTCAGTTGTTTTTTTTTATTACAATCAATTCGATCATGAAATTATAAAATTGTTTTTTTAAATGATTTATTTACTATAGAATGCCTGTTTTTCTTGGCTATTTTTATTAGTAACTGATATTCGCCATAGAATCTCATGAAATAGTTGTTATATGGTGTTTAGGGCGGAATAGCCAAATAGATAATAAATTGAGAGATAAGGTTTCTGCTGCTTTCTCGAACTGCTTTCTGAGTGAGCCTGCCATTAAAAAATCTGTGTGGTACTGCGACCTAGGCGAAATTCTGCCTGCCAGATAACTAACTCTCTAGAGAATTTCTAACTGCATTAATTTAGGAGTTAAGCTAATCTAAAAAAGCGTCTTAATTAAATTTTTAATGAAGCCAGAAACGCTGCACTATTTGCTTATATTAAAAAGCGAAAAAGAAAAGCTTTATTACTTTAAATCGTCCTTTATTCTTATTTTTATTTTTTTAATCTAAAATAATATTAATATTTCCGACATTTTTCATTTATTAAAGAGATTAATTAATTTATCGGTTAATCTTTCTCATATATTGCGATTTATTCAATTTTCAATTTATTTGATTAATCACATTTTGCTGATTATTATTAATTTTGAATTAATTAATATAAATAATGATAAATATTAATTAAATGTTTTTATTATTCTTTTCGAATAGAACGACGAAAAAAGAAATAAAAATTAGTGACGAAAAGAAGAATTGGGTAGCGCTGTCCGTAAAACCACTCGCTTTTTTTAATGCTCGCTCCCCATTTTCATGGAACAATCCAAATCTTACATAATAATAAAGGAAATAAAAATTTTTTCCACTTCAGTGATAAAAGAATTACGAAAAAGAAATTAGTAATTGTGCCTAAAATCTTGCGCTTCTTATTTTCTCGCGTTATTCAAATTCCAAATTCCGTTTCATGGTTTCACTTTATCATTAGGCCAACTATTATCAAAGGTAAATTATCACCAAAATGCAAATTTAGTAAACATTAGCACCTTTGATTAAATGTTTGGAATGATAAGTTCTTATCAATAAACTTTACTGATTAAACTCTTTTAGTAACAATCGGCGTTTTGTTGATCACTAGAGAATAATTTGCATAAGTTTCATTTAGAGATAGAGATGTTGATAGCTGCACTCGTATTTTGCGACAGACCTGTTCTCACTAAGGGGGAGAACACTGAACGCATAATGCTCGAACTCGAAATATATTATTAGATGATTTGTTACCAATGATTTCAGTTATCATACATTAATTTCCATATTGATTTGGCCTTCTTTACACCTTTTTTCGAACCAAACCTATATCTTTTTAAACAGTTAATGATAAAGATCAAACGTTGTGTAGATTTTTTGAATTTCCCAGTTTATAGCGATTAATAAAGCCATCAAAATAGATTTCGACCGGATTACTTGGCTATTATTTCGAAATTATCGTTATGAATTTTCAATTTAACTGAGTTACTTTCCAATTGAACAATGAAAGAACTAAATGATTTAGATTATTTAGTGTTTTTGGATCCTATAATAGATTCACACTCTTCTTTTTCTAAGAGTATTCACCACTTTTGGTTTGCTTGGCTGCATCGGTCAATATGAAAAACTCACCAGGGAATCATTTAAGGACAGCGACACATATAGATTCCTAGATTTTATTTCCACTTAATTGATGAGCTTATTCCTGTCAAGAGAATATGTAATCGTGTTGTCAATTCCCAAGAAAGGCATAAGACAAATTGCGACAACTATTGTGTTTACTAGTCATTTCAGAAAAAGATTTATGCCTTATGTCTGCTCAAACAGACCAATAATAAGAGGATAATGCTTGTTATTTTATAAAAATTGCTAAATAATTTTAATAGTATCTCATTTAATCAAATGAAACTTAAGTTGAAACAACTTATAACTCAATATACTTGCTTTCCATGCGAATAGATATGCAATGATGTCAAAACTGTCACTATTTTTATCAAATCTTGATGATTAAATGAAAAATTTCTCTTGAATTTTTTCCATAACTTCTTGTTATGTTTTCTCAATGCAAAAATCGAATTTCTTAAATGATAAGAGCAAATCATAAATGATAAAGGAAATTTCCTAGAAATAATGAAGGATTATGCAATCGATTTCAAAATATAAAAATGATAATATTTTCCAACCAAAATAATTTAATTAAAACATCGTTTTAATTAAACTTGTAAAGTTATTTAAGTTGTTTTCTACTAAAGTATGTAAAATTTTAAAATTAAAATTAATCTCATTAATCATTAATTATTAATTATTAATTAATAATTAATTATTAATTATTATTAATTATTAATTAATAATTAATTATTAATTATTATTAATTATTAATTATTATTAATTATTATCTCATTAATTAAAATAATTAAAATTTTTCATTAGATATTTAGCAAAATAATTAAAGTGTTTTTTTGGGAAACTTGCAAAATTTCAGTATTGTAACATTTTGCGTATCAATGCTTCTAGTCGTCGTATGGAGGATAGTTACACATTTATTTTGCCAGAGGCGAGAACGCGATGAAATCGAAACGATATATGAACAGGTGATAGCGAATCTCTAATGTTTAATTTGGTCGATTTTCAAATTAAAAAATAATATATATAAAATAATATATATATAATATAATACATTAATATTTTAACTAATAATTTCGATATTAATCGCAATTTTTTGCAGCAAAATGGCAAACATGGTCTTTTGAAAAATGAAATTGATGGTTTCGCATTTAAACAAGAAGAAGTTCAAATAGGATGGATGACTGAGGCAAAAGATTGGGCTGGTGAGCTTATTTCTGGCCAAAGTATGACTGGACGCATACTTGTCGTGCTCGTTTTTATATTATCTATTGGATCGCTAATCATATATTTCTATGATGCATCTCAGTAAGCATTAAAAATATTTTTATGAACTATTTGAATTAAAATACTTAAATTTGCTAGAATTAAAAATTATAAATTACTGGCTTTTTCAAAAAATATATTTACGGTTGGCTAAAATTTTCTAGCTAAATTATTTCTTGTAGAAAAAACTTCATTCGTACTCGTCCTCTTTTTCTTTTTCTTTGAACTGAATAAAATATTTTTTATAGCCCAAATTTTCAAGTGGAAACATGCGTTTCATGGTCCGAGAGTCCATCGCAACAAATCGACCTTGGTTTCAACATTTTTTTCCTTATCTATTTTTTTATTAGAGTAAGTTTTATCTTATCATTTTATCAAGTTTCGATTTTTAAATGAAAATAGTTCAATTAATCAAATAATTAGTAAGAAGATAAATTTATATTTTCGTTGCAAATAACAATAAATCAAAAATTACATTTTCATTTTCTTTAAATTAATAAAAATAGATTCACAGATTTTACATATAATCTTGATGCAATTCTCTAGAATTATCTAAAACAACCTTATTGGATTTCAATCTCTTGTGATGTATCTAAGTTAAAAAAAAAATTGAATCTTTAAAAAAATTGCAAAGCCTATTTCTGGCAATAATTGCCAAAAAACTTCTATTTCCAGCAAAAATTTGCAAAATTTCAATACATAATTGCAATATTTAAGTATTTCGAGGTTTTATGCTATTTCTAAAATGCTATATTATAGATAAACTTGATAGTAGTTAATAACTGATTTAAATCTAAACTTTTTTTAAAAAGCCCTCATTATTACTGATAAGACTCGTTCCATTGGCTTGTCGTAAAAGGTAAATATGTCAGGGAATCCCTTGACGATAGAAGTACAGTTAAGTCGCCAGGATCACCCAGAAATTAGTCTAATCATATATTTCTATGATGATTATATAATTAGTCTACGCTGTGGTCAATTATTTTTATTTCTTGATAAATTTTCTTCAAGAGAGAAAGGCTTACGAAATTTTTTAAGTGATTTTAAGAAATTGTGCAAAGTTTTGTCATAAAAAAAGTTTTTAATTTCTAAAAATTCATATTCATAAAAATGGATTAGCAAATATTCATTCGAAGAAAACAATTTAAATTAATTTCCGACAAATTTTTTCTTAAACGATAGAAGAATAACATTTGGAATATTTCGAATATAAATTTTAAATTTCCAATAATTCGGACAATTTTCTACTTTCTATTATAAATTTCATGGAATTAATCCCAATAATTTATGCAAATATTCGCTGAATTTAATTGGATTTTAGTGATTTTTAATGCATTTAAAAAAGTAAACAACATTCTTTTTCTTAGGCTCTAAGAAATTAACTAAGAGAATAACTAAGAGAAAATAATTTTGTAGTTTATCGCAGCGTCCGATAAAGTATGGTTTCTATTGGAAGTTTATAGTTTCATTGATTATTTTACGATTCCACCAAGTTTTGTTGCAATATACCTCGAAAGAAATTGGCTAGGTAAGCATTATTCAACTGAAAAATAATGCAACATTTTCTAAAGTGATTTTTCTTCTCTATGATTAGTGATAAAAAATCAAGAAGAATCAAAAATGAATTTTGTAAAATTTGCAAAAATATTTTATAAAATTTCTATTAATTCTATATTTTTTTCAAATTACAAATGATAATCGAAATTATATTTTAAATAGAGATTTATAGGTTTACGATTTTTACGTGCTTTACGATTGATGACTGTACCTGATATTCTGCAGTACCTCAACGTTCTGAAAACCTCGTCGTCAATTCGTTTAACTCAACTTCTTTCCATATTTATTTCTGTTTGCTTGACTGGAGCTGGATTTATACATGTGGTTCGCCAATTAATTAATTCACTAATAAATACTTAATGAACTGGCAAATTCAAAATTTTCATGTTAAACACATCAATAAATAGAAAACATAATAAATGGAAAAGACTCACATTAATTCGGCTTAATGCATTCTAAAGGACAACGGAACTCTCTTTAAACGATATAAAAGAAGAATCATGATGCATGACATAAATTGTCGCCGAAGAACAAAAATGAAAGCTATTGTCAAGATCGACTTGCTTTTCAGTCCAATTGGATTCCGTCGCATGTCGCTTTTTTCGTCATTTTCGAGACATCAAAGATTGTTAAAGCAGTCGGCGAATCAGCTGTGAATAAATGCATTTTAGATGAACGTTTTATAGGCATTTTTACAATAACTTTTAGGCAGAAAATAATAAAATACTTTAGCAAATTCTTATAATGAAAAATAGAATGAAATTTTTCAGTTGGAAAATAGCGGTGATCCATTTAAGAATTTTGCAAATACACATCGTATAACTTATTGGGATTGTGTTTATTTTTTATTAGTAACAATGTCGACGGGTTTGTTTTCTCTTTCTTTACTTTCGACTAATAGGATTTTGCATAAAAATAAGAATAAGCGAAGGTTAAAAATGAGATTAAATAAGTTTTTAACGTCGTTAAAATCGCAGAAATATGAGAAGTTTTCCACTGCGATAAGCTGCAAAAATGTCGTTCCCTATAATATTACCATTCATCGTCATATAATAACGCTTCAGTCCGACTTTAACGCTTAGAAGAAGAATTATATCGTTGATCTAAATGCATCGTAGATTAAATACATGCAAAATTTTTCTCATTAGGTTTTATATTAAGTATATTTAGTCGAAATTTTTTTGCAAACAATGGTACTAACCTTTATTTTGGATCTTTTGCACTATTTCATTTCCCATTTATATATCTTTGCAAGTTTTTAATTTACTAACAAAAATCACTACTAAAAAAGGATTTGACATCGATCATCTATCAGAAATTGAGTATCAAATTTATTATATTTGAGTATCAAATATTTTATTTTTATCACTGAACTACGTTGAATTCCTTTCCTCTTTCCTTTCGTGGTGTACTATAATCACTAAGCTATCACTATCGCTAAATTGTAGTGTCGGCTAATCTCTTTTATTCATATTTATTTAACAAATTAAACACTAATCACCTTAATTCATAAACATAATTTTGCATCGTTATATGGTAGACTATAATATAAATATCGATACTGAACCATATTGCCTATAAATAGAAATTATTACCAATAATCACAAAAATAGACGAGAGTTCTTAAGTTGACTATTCATGGCATGAAAGAGATTAAATGCTATTAATTAATGAGACTAAACGCTATTTCCATCTTCTTATTCTTCATCACCCTTAAAAATTTTCCATGTTATTTATAAGCAAATGAATTTTTCAATATAAAATATAAAATAGAAAATAATGAAAATAATGAAAATTTCAGTCGGTTATGGAGATATTTATTGCACAACTTTCCTTGGGCGATTATTCATGGTTTTCTTTATTCTCGGTGGATTAGTTCGTTTTTTTTACTTTTCAAATTTTTTTATAAATTTCGCTAAACAATTTTTTATTGGATGAGTATTTTTTTATGGAAAAAAATCACTTTTTTTTATAAAAATTTGACCAAATATTTGTGGAAAAAAAACAAAAAATCCTGAAACAGTTTCGAAATGTATTTTTATAAGGATAATAATGATCTTAGGCGATGTTCGCCAGCTACGTTCCAGAAATTGCTGATTTGATTGGTTCGAGGCAAAAATACGGTGGTGAATATAAAGGCGAACATGGAAAAAAGTAAAATTTATTATATTCTTTATCTCAGAGTTTACGAATATTATTAACTTTATTACAAATAATAATGTTTATCTTGCGTTTCTCATCATAAATATTTTATTTCTATTCAATAATTTATTTATTTTTAGACATATCGTTGTATGTGGCTATATAACCTACGAATCTGTTAGCCATTTTCTTCAGGATTTTCTTCACGAAGATCGCGAAGATGTTGATGTTGAAGTTGTTTTTCTACATAGGTTCATTGCTATTTTCTACGTTTCTTTTAAAATTGTATAGTTATCGAATATTTTGATCAAATGAAACATGTGATAACGATAAGCTGATAAACAAATAAGCTTATAATTCGGTAAGGTAGTTTTGAAATAAATTGAAAAATCCGTTTGTAGAGTGCCGCCCGATCTTGAGCTTGAAGGACTTTTTAAAAGACATTTTACTAAAGTTGAATTTTTTACTGGAACGGTAATGGATTCAATCGATCTTTCACGTGTTAAAGTTCGTATTTATCATTATTTATTTGTATTAATTTGAATTTTTGAAAATTTTCATAGAATGTTCCAATGAAAATACCTATTTTGTTTGTTTTGTTCAATCAAAAATTTAGCATTTCCAGTGTTTTTTTTTTGCTGAAAACGTTCACCATTTCTGATTAAATTCGCCCTTTTGGCTTATATAGAACAGGCAAATTTTACAAATGTATGCCACTGTCACTGGGCAATAGAAATAGACGCGAGTCGCAAGCAAAACTCGGTTTTTTGAAAGCGTACCAGGAATAGAACCTCATTTCCAACATTTTTAAAAGAGAATGAGCACTCATTGAGCACTTCGATAATTTTTTAGCGTTTTTTGAATAATTTTCAGGAAATTATTTATTATTTACATTTATCGCCTATTTATCCACCATTTATGAAAAAACTTCATCGGCCAACAACTATTTAAAAATAATGAGTTCGGCTCTCAAAAGAAATTCCAAATAAATCTTTTTTATGAGCTATTCTTTTTTTCTTCATATTTTCCTCATATTTTTCTAGCAATTTCCATATTTTTAGCTTATTTCATCTCTTAAATGTCTGAATACAAATATTGCTCTGTTTAGGTTGACGAAGCAGATGCTTGCCTTGTTCTAGCTAATAAATATAGTAGTGACCCAGATGCTGAAGATGCAGCCAATATCATGCGGGTTATATCTATAAAAAATTATAGCGCTGATATTCGAGTTATTGTTCAATTAATGCAGTATCACAATAAGGTTTATTAGAAATTAATTATTCAATAGTCCCCTTTTGCAAAATTTCTTTTCTTAATTAGCCAATTTATGGAAATATTTTTTTTTTTTATAAAATTCTCATTTTACAATTCTCATTTTACATTTCATTTTTCTCGCAAAATCATATAATTTAAAGTTTTTTCACATTTCTGAGATGAAAAATTTTTTCAGGCGTATTTATTAAATATCCCATCGTGGGACTGGCGAAGAGGCGACGATGTGATTTGCCTTGCTGAATTAAAACTTGGCTTTATTGCTCAGTCTTGTCTCGCACCTGGTTTTTCGACAATGATGGCTAATTTATTTGCTATGCGATCATTTAAAACGGTTCTCTTTTTGTTGATAAGCATGATTTGTTCGAATATTTTTCAATCAAACTAACCAAAATTATCATAATTTTAACAGTTTCATATCTTTCTAACAAAAAATATTTCATAATATTTTTGTTGTCTTTTTAACATTTTTTTTTTGAAACTAACACTATACTAACGTTTCAGTCACCACATACTCCTTCGTGGTTAAATGATTATTTGCGCGGTGCAGGAATGGAAATGTATACTGAAACCTTATCGCATTCTTACGTAGGAATGACATTTCCGGAAGCTACTGAGTTCATTTTTATTTTATTTTTTCTATTTTTTAAACATTTTTTGAAGAATTTTCTTTTCTTTTATAATTTTAGTTCAATGGCATGTTTTTTTCCGTTTTTATTTCATCTTTTTTTTTACGATTTGCACGAAATTTTAAAAAATTTTAAAATTCTGAAATGCATATTTTATTTTTTATTTTTACTATTGTTAAGTTTCACGAAAGTAGAGAAAATTACCTAAATAAAGTATGAAGTTAGCACAGCTTCCATATGTTTTTTGGTAGCAATTTGTTTGCTATTTCTGGTTGTTTCTTTAATTTTTTGTCGACGGTGGAAATTTCTTTTTTTCCTTGTTTTTGCCATTTTTATTCGTTTATTATTATAAATTTAAAATTTTGTCTAATGGACGAAAAAAAGCAACGAATATTTTTTGGGAATTAAATTCATTTCCTAAATTTTTTTTGTTACAATATATAAGCGTTGCCTTGGCGATTTATGGCAAACAATTATGTCGATAACAATATAATAAATTGATGAAAAATCATAAATAATGGAAAATTTTCGAGAAAAAAAAGAAATATATTCAATGGAAAAGTTTCAGTCAAGACAAACTCCCGACTGGCTAAATCTTTATTTATGTGGTGCAGGAATGGAAATGTATACGGATACTCTATCACATGGATTTGTCGGGATGACATTTCCGGAAGCTGCTGAGTAAGCACAGCGTGAATGCTCATAATAAAACTGAAATATATTAATATTTTGCATGTGCTAATCATTCATTCTATGTAATTAATCTTTAAGCATTTAATGCTAAATCATTTAAATTATTAACAATTAACAATTTATTGTTTATTAAAAAAAGATGGATATAATCTCATTTAAAAAATTAATTGCTACGAATGCATTAGCTTTAAAAAATTTCGAATGAAAATATTTTTTGGATGGGAAAATTTCGCTAATCTTTTAAATATTCTAAACATTTTTCACTTTTGCCACTAAATAATTTTTTGCTGTTTGGCAGTTTTCACAGACCAATTAGCCTAGGGCAGTGTTCTCGATTGGAATTTATTGTCGGAATTTGTCGGAACTGAATTTTTTTTAAAATTATATAAAGCAAAATTTAAGGGTTAGCCGACTTATGAAACTTCTCTTCGGCTTGCCATCACTGTATAATCGAAATATTTTATTTCATAAATTCTTGCAGCATTTCTTTTTGCATTTGCCTCTGCCTAATGTTTATTGTTACAAGGCTTGCCACTTTTGCAATTAAATACTATATTGTGGCGTAATTTTTTGTTAACTTGCATGTGTCTTTTCCCTTAATTATGTTCAATACTCCATAATTTTACGCTTTAAGACTAGCAAAAACAATTTTAAAAAATTTATATTGCAGAGTTTCATGAGTTAAATTCACAATTTATATACGAAAATGAGCACAACACTAATATTTAGTAACTTAACTTTAACACTAATAGTAACGTTTTTATTTTTATTTTTAGTTCATTAATATGTCATTTTTGCTTGATTTCGTCCTTCTAACACAATATTCAATTACGACTGTGATTGTCGATTAGTGAATTAGTGAAAGAAAATGCTTAAATAGAGCATAAATGCTTAGTGCTTATAATTAATAATTAGTACTGCTAATGAAAAAAAAATCATAAGTTAAAATTCCAAAAATCTAAAATCTAAAGCTAATTTCAATAAATATTAGAAAGTGTATCCTTAGGTGAATTGTTCTTGAAGTGAATAATAAAAAAAGGATAATTATGAACCAATGATTTCGGAAATTAGCTTTATTTCGTTAAGTTTCTAGTTTAGGTACATAATACTTTTTATGATGGTTGTTAATTATACCTTCTTCTTCTAACAGCTCTCAACATAACTGGTTAGGCTGGCTCCAACGGCTACATGGGACGCTTGACTATAAGAAGTCTCCAAGCTGCTCATTCCCAAGCCATCGCAAGTAGCAATAGAAGCCATTCCTTTTTCCATCGTCTAAGTTCATATATGTTAATTATATCAAATAATATTTCACTAGCGCATATCATTAAAATAATCTTCTATTATTCGAATTTTTAACAATTTTAATTTTTTTAAATTTTGAGACCTATAATTAATTTAAAAGGATTCAAATGGTATAAAAAATGAATATGTAGCATAATATAACATAACATTACAAATCAGAACAAGCAAGTACCTTAGATAGTTCAGTAAAAACAAATTTCATAGGTCATTGCCCTAATCCAGGTTGATAATTCTAAATGAATAATATTAAGGTTCTTTTTCTTCTAAAAGCTCTCACCATTACTGGTTAAGATGGCTCAGCTGGTTGCAAAGGTTTTCAAGCTGAGCAACTTTATAACAAATAATAAGGTGAACAGGTCAATATTTTAGAGGATTTTTATTCGTTAGCTTTTACTCGAAGATCAAAATTTAAATTCCCATCAGCAATTTGCCGAATTCTGAAATATGGTTTAACTGTGTTAAAAGAATATAATCACCATAGATTACAGGAAGATCAGAGTTAGCATTTCATTTTTTACTTACTAAGTTTTATGATTTGTCATAAAGTTGTTCAACCGCTTTTTTATATCATTTCTGAAATACTTATAAGCTCTACAATCTTCCACATGAATAAACTATTAAATTCATCAGTATAGAAATACTAAATGTACTAAAATTAAAATTAGATGATACTTGGCAATATTTAATTACAAACAAAAGGCCATTAGCCGATTCCTAGGCGTTTCACCAGTTTAAAATTCTGCTTAAATTTTTCTTACTCGAATCGATTTAAAAAATGAACAATTTTTGGCAGATTTTTTAGACAAATAAACTTGCATATGAGGAAATCAGAAGAATAAAATTGGAAAATTTAAATCAATTTAAATTTATTACATAATTTTCTGACAATAATCAATAAAATCTAACAAAATATTAATTCTTTTATTAATTGATTTTTTGTATTTTTTATTTTTTGTTGTTTTTAATAATTTTTGAAAATTTTTCGCAAATTTTTCAATGAAAAGAATTAAAGGATTGTTGATTAAGGCCAAATAAAGTTAGGCCATATAGTATAGGAATATAAAAGTATTTCTGCCAATTTTTAAAATTTCAGCTTACTTTTCTCGAGACTTGGCCTTTTATTATTGGCGATTGAGTCAAAAGATGACGAAAAAAAGGAATGCAATATTGCAATTAATCCTGCACCAAATACAATAATACAGCCGCAAACACAAGGCTTTTTTATTGCACAATCAGCTGATGAAGTTAAACGGTATTCTTCACTCACTTTTCCTTCTTCTGATAGCTTTCGCTTAGGCTTGCTAACTCCATTGACTATTGGAATAAACCTCTTTTGGTGGAACCGTTTGGATGTAAAAGTGGACTCGCAATAACCATTTAGAATGTACTTTCCTTTTTAGAATTTAATCCCATCAGGAGGCAAGAATTGAAGAAGCTTGCTCGATATTAGACGAAATAATATATCAAGCTTACTAATCAAATGGAGAACAAGAGAAAGCGCTCTCTCTGTCCATGGTCATTTATCACAATTTATCATTTATCATTGATCATTTACCCCTTCTTTATGGTGAGTATATGGTATATCCCAGCAAGCACTATGCATGAAACGATCGATTGTGCTGATTTCTTATAAAAACGTTCGCTGCTGAAATAACCTAGTACTTTCGATAAGATTCACTAGAATATCACCATATTTCATGGTTGTCGAAAATGCTCTCCAATCTACAGAGTCGATTTCAACTGAAAAATTCCAATAATTCACACATTTTAAAAATTTTAAAAGCGGTTTGAATGTTACAATTTGTAATGAGAAATGATAAATAATTTTTTCAATAATTTAGGAATTTTCTAACTAAGAATTTATTATTTTCCAAAAATTTTCGATGAAATTTTTAAATAAATTTCATAAATAAAAATATTTGTTAAGTCGATTCGGTGTGAAATATTCGACGAGGATTTCAATTTCTAAAAAGATATGTTATCGATCTCGATTTTCAACTGCTTTTCACGAGTGCAAAATTTTGTAATACATTGTGCTCGAGCAAAATTGCTATTATATGAGATTTGCTGAATTTCAAAATAGGTTGCTTCGACAAGAAATTTTTATCGAGAAGACCGTTTGGGTTCTATCTGCACATTTCCTAAGTAACTGTCACCGAAAAGCTCACACCTTGTTAGTCACTTGAGGCAGCAAAAACAGAAATGACGAGTGCTTCAAGAAAGTGGAAAGGAAAACGGAAATCCGATTAGTAAAAATTTTAATAAATGAAATTTTCTCATGGTTCGAAAAAGGTAACTGGTGATGAGTGAATTATTTATGAAAAAGAGTAAAGTAAATATATTTAGGGCGTTCTACTGGTGCAAGCAGTGTCACGAAGATATTCTTGATGTAACATTAATCAAAAAATGTAAATGCCGCAATCGTAAGCATTTTAAATTCTATCCGCTTAACTAAATCTTTTCTCGTCAGTTTTTTCGAACCAACTTTTTCACGATTTTCATGAGACAAATCGCTTTATATCCACACTTAGACCACATATTATCTTCATGATTAATTGATAAGAGATGAAATTTTCAGTTGCTTTATTTCGAAAAGGAGTAAAACAAGTACAATTATCAAAAAGGGTTGGTAAGTAAAATTGATGCTCAAATTGATAACTGATGAATAATGGTTAAAGTTGATATTGATAAGATATTAAATAATTCTTAGTATAATATTTAAAAAACATAAAATAGCGAATAGCTGATTGATTTTGCTGGTCACCAAGTATAAAATTAATTATTTGCAAAAAATGAGCATTATTTAAATTTATCTACTTTCAGATTGATAGATTGAATTCTCGAAAATAGTTTTTAATTGTTGGTTTACCTCCGTAACTATTAACTTTCTTTTCCAATACCTGGCGCTCTTTTTCGCTATTTTTGCTATTCGCTATTTTTAAATTTATTTATCTCCATTTAACAAAAACTTACGTACTTAATGCCTAATAGGCATTATTCCTAAATAAATATTCTTTATTAATTAACATTAGATCCATTTTTTAAAATTTTTTCGGTGAATTTTACAAAAAAATTTAACCTATTTGTTGAATTTTGATTTAAAGCACTCGTCATTAGTTACACTCGCTCCACTGATCTGATGGACTAGATAGATTTGCCAGGGATTCTCTTGGTGACGGATGAGTCGCCAGCAACACTCAGGTTTTTAGGCAGGTTTACTCCTGTTGAGAGTAGAGCCTAAATATCGACGGCGGTCTGAGTTGAGCAACCAACTTAGCCAATCTCTGTTAGACAATACTATTATCCGACAATGTGTGGTGCATCAACCAGAATGCAAACCTCGATTCTTGATGGTAATTATTTCCCACTGATTGGTGAGTCAATGACGCACCAATCATTGAATTGTATGTTAAATATTTCAAAAATTTTTTTCTTCAATCGAGAATTAACCTACTTATGAAGGCAACAAGATTTTAGCTCGTGCAACTCCGATGTTAAATGCAATGGCTGATTCAACTTTCCAACTGCGAAGGATTGACCAAAGGTAAGTAAATAAGTTAACGCTCACTGTTGCTGGTTAGGTTAGTTCCACAGGCTGTTGGTATGCTCAAAAATTTTTCTTAGGAAATCATTTGGTGACTGAAATACTGGTGAGCACCATTCAGATTGCTTAATGATACTGAACGT